GGGCTGTGTTGTTCCTCTAATCGACAAGCTTGTGTTGGTGAATCCTAGTTGCTTCTCACAGCAGTTGACCCTCAAACGTCGAGCAGAGCAATTCTGCCTGTGAAGAGTCTGGGTGCTTGTATCCAGGCGGGGTTTCGCGGTGCTATGCTGCGAAAACCTGGGAAGATTGGCAAAGTCCAATCCATGACGATCAAGAGGTAATCGCTTTGATGAATGTGACATCAGTTGTCACACGGACCTTCATGAGTCGCTGAGGCTCTGAGGTTCTTAAGTTGTCTCGCGCATGAGTTCAGCGAAGCAGCTGGGACGGGCTTTGGTTGCGACGTTTGGCCGCCCAAAGCAACGTCGTCCCCCCAGCTTGGGGATTGGCTCGGAGGTCTTGTCGTTTGGACACGGCGCAAAGCAAAAGCATGAGCGGGGCTTGGAGATGATGCAAACATTGTTCCATGAGGATTTGCGGCTTGTGGATGAGTTAAATCAGACATTGAGTGATCAGTTTGCCAATTCAGACCATCTGAAGAGTGGACACGATTTGCCGGACGGTCCCGTTCTGAGCGGTGATCCAACTGCTTTGCTTTCAAAGTGCCAAACAACGTGAGTAGCTAAGCTTCAACGCTCGCGTTTTTGTTTTTTGCTAGGGCAAGGCAAGGCCCCAGGCGTTACAGCGATCGACAAGTGCTTACCCAGCTGCATTTGTTGGTTGCGGGATTGATTAGCATGTGTCACCATGTGTCACCCACGCAGGAACTGTGCTATCCCTGATTTCCATCCATACACTATTGAATAATTGCCCGTTGACTGTCGCACAATGCGCTGGTCTGTTTGAGCAACCGATCCATTTGTGAGTGATTTAGTTACTTGTACCACTATCTCCATCAAACTTGCACAAACTGTTCAAACATATTTTGTGGCAATTGCTATCCTCTGCAACGAATCGTTGTGGTAGTTCAGCACTTGGCCCCGACCCCACAAGATGGTGTCAGTTGTGTTGTGCCTTGTGCGCGGAAGATGTGGAACGTCGAACTCTCAGTTTAGCTTTGCCTGTCGAACTTTGGGCTCAGAGCGCCGTGCCAATCGATGGATTGGTGAAACAGGCGCTGGCAAAGCACTACATTGAGTTGATGAACAAGGCACAGACACCAATACAATGCACAACAACTGTGATTTGCTGTGTTCCTGGTACAGGTGAACATTTGTGTGTACACACTGAATGCCACTCAGAAAGGACAATATCGATTGTAAAGCACCATTGAGTCAGCGGCTTTTGAGCTTGCGCATGTGGCACCAGAATTCGCAGTTTTGCCTTCCCTGGTGACGCGAATCATCGCCCTCACTCTGTGAACGCATCCTTGAAGACTCAGATTGTGCAGTTTCGTCACCAGATATCGTATGCCAATGCGGGCCTGCTACTATTACATCGTTCATACCAGCCCAACACCTTACGCCTTGCCAGTGCTCCTTTGAACTTCATTGTGTCACCAGGGAGGACGCTGATTTGTGCTGTATCCCCGAGTTTCCACAATGGGAATTCGGCACAGCTTTGTTGGCGCCTCAATTTCCGGTTGTGATGCCCGGGACCTTCCACCAGAATTGAGCCAAAAGTGTGGTAACATATCATAGAGCTTCAAGGGGAGGCTGGAAATATAAACGTTGCCTTTTCAAGAGTACTCCTCGTTGCCTTGTTTTGTGAAGCTTTGAGTTGGCAAACTACACTCAGCGTGGTGTATGAGTCGACGCAGCTTGGTCTTGCCCTGATGAGCAAGTACAAAGGTCTATAGAAAAGAAGTACCATCCCAAAGACAAACATATACCCTTAATGAAGGCATCGATCCAGGCATAGGTCTGTGTTTCCTGTGCTTCGGCTCGGCGAAAAACCGGCCCAGTCCAAATCCATCTTCGATTGCTTCGACCTGGGCGACCTCATTGGCAGCGGCAACTTCGGCCAGGTGTCCGTCGGAGTGGATTTCCAGCCTGCGATAAGTTGTGGTTCGGTGGCCGAAAGGGTGTGTCTCTTCTTTTTTTCTTTTTTTATGAGGACCACCCCCGTTCCCAAGGGTACCATATACTTGACGGAGCTCGCAAAATCTTGGCAAATCGACTCGGTCGGCTTCTAGATTGGCAAGTTTGGCCAAGCAGATTTTTCGGGCAAGACAACACGACATTTGGTGTTGTCCAGTGCTGGAGTGTGCTCTCAGCTGGGCGGCTTGGCCAGGTGTTGCTCTGCACGCGACGAGACGAACCCTCGCAGGCTTGGCCAGAAAAATATGAGTCACTGGCACTATTGGAGATTGTTCATTTGTTTGTGGCGGAGACCCGTACTTGAAGCTGGTGAGTTTGCGCTCTCCAGCGCAAAAGATGTAGTTGTTCCTTTGGTTTTAAAATACCCTCACCGCTGTGCATTGTGCTGGACGTTGGGATGCTAGGCCTTGCTCCTTCCTCCGGTCAACATGCACAGCTGAATGTGTGAGGTTGGGTTGACCTTTTGCAACTCCCCTTTAACCGCTGAACATATATATATATATATATGTATATATATATATATATATATTTATAGTAGATGCATGTGCATAAATATGTATACACATGTGAATTTGTGCGTGTGTGAGATTGTGTGTGTGTGTATGATGGATGGTTGGGTGGGGCGGTCGCCTGGCGGGTGGCCGCCACTGATGCGCCGGAAGGCGGATCAGTCTGCCTCGCTGCTTTTGACCCGGTAGCCTTGACGCCCCATGCAGCAACAAATATTATATCCAAACATGCGCACGACAGTTTGAAGCCGCTAGCCCTAAACCTGTATCCTTGTGGCGTTGAAGTGTGTGCCGTCACGGCGTCTCGGTCAGCAGGAGGCCTAGCAAGACCTTGGCCAGTCCAGGAATGTGCTGGGGTCTGCAGACTTGTTCCTCGCAGAAGTTGGGCTTCTGTCGCCTTTGTGGGGCCCACCTCTGCCAGAGAGGGCATCTGGGGCAAGATTGGGCTAGGTGCCCAAAATGGAACCCTGGTAAGGACTAAAGCCGGGTGTCCTGGTGGCTGAGTTTTGACCCATACCCACTCAAAAACAGAACCAATGCACATCATGCCACAGAGTTTCAATCAGGCCGACTGGAGCCGATCTGTGTTTAGCCAATCCAATCACGTGATCAAATCGATGCTTGTTATTCGAATTAGTCATATTCCTTTGTCCGTTTCTGTTCGCCGGAGTTGATGTAAGGGCTTCCTTCCCGCCCCTCCGAAATAAACGGGTGACCTGCTCACAGCCCAGCCTTCCTTCCCGCCCCATCCCCCCCAAATCTCCCCCCCCCCCCCCAATCCCCCCCTCCCAATCCCCCCCTCTCCCCCCCTCCCCCCCTCCCCCCCAATCCCCCTCCCACCCTCCCCCCCAATCCCCTCCCCTTTCCCCCGCCCGATCCCCGCTCCCGCGAGCTGGGATCGAACACTCAGGGCACCTATGCCGTGAAGGTGGTGGACATGGAGAGCAGCCAGGCCAAGGCCATGGAGGCGGGATCCATCGTCCGGATCTCCGAGGCTGAATGCTGAAAGCTGACACGGCGAAACTCGATGGAACTCGGAGCTGCAGAGTGGCATTGCTCTGTTGTGTTTGTATTGAAAGCTGTAAGGTGAAGAATGAAGCACGGCCAAAGACATATACAAAAGAAACACATATATATATATATGCCTTTGAATCAAAGTATTGTTTGCTTAAACAAACCAGAGAGGTGTGTGCAAGCTGGAGCGGTTCAAGGAACCGGAGCATATTGCCTTTCAAGTCCCTCCGAATTCGGCTGGGTGTCAATGAGCACCATATATTTGAATTGGCGTCGATAATGGGTGTTTACATAGCTATGGAGACCCGCGTTCGTTTCTCAAAGGGGCGCCAAAGAAAGCTGGCAGGGGTCCCCTACCTCTGCAACTGGTCCAAGGAACAGCTCACCGTCCACATTGGAAGTTATTTGCCTGGCTGCATGTCCGAACTGCCCCTTACACCTTTGTAGGATCTCCCACCTGCCTCAGATGAACGTTTTGGTAGGGAGTTTGGGCGGACCGCTCCTTAATCCAGAGAATAATTGAGGACCACTTCGTCTAGTTGGGAACCGGAGCAAAACATGGGGAACTGGAGCAACACATTGGGTAACCGGAGCAAAACATTGGGGAACTGGAAGAACTGCAGCAAAACATTGGGGAACTGGAGCAAAACATTGGGGAATTGGAGCAAAACATTGGGGATCCGGATCAAAACAACATTTTGGGAACCGGAGCACAACATTTGGGAACTGGAGCAACACATTGGGGAACCGGAGCAAAACATTGGGGATCCAGAGCAACACATTTGGGAACTGGACCAAAGCATTGGGAAACCGGAGCAAAACATTGGCGAACCGGAGCAAAACATTGGGGAACTGGAGCAAAACATTGGGGAACTGGAGTAAAACATTGGGGAACTGGAGCACAACATTGGGGAACTGCAGCACAACATTGGGGAACCGGAGCAAAACATTGGGGAACTGGAGCAAAACATTGGGGAACCGGAGCAAAACATTGGGGAACCGGAGCACAACATTAGGGAACTGGAGCAAACCATTGGGGAACTGGAGCAAAACATTGATCTTAGAACTGGAGCGCAACATTGGGGACCTAGAGGAAAACATTGCGGAACCGAAGCAAAACATTGGGGAACTGGAGCAAAACATTCAGGAGCTGGAGCAAAACATTGGGGAACTGGAGCAAAACATTGGGGAACCGGAGCAAAACATTGGTGAACCGGCGGGAACTGGAGCAAAACAAAATTTGGGAACTGGAGCAAAACAAAATTTGGGAACTGGAGCAAAACATTGGGAAACCGGAGCAAAACATTGGGGAACTGGAGCACAACATTGGGGACTTGAAGCAAAACATTGGGGAACGGAACTGGAGCAAAACATTGAGGAACTCGAGCAAAAAAATGCATCGGGGACATTGGG